TGGGGGATTCTGGGCAAGTTGGGAATGACAATGGGGTACCCACCATGGAGTGGAAGATCTGCAGTGATAAATTTGGAAAAAAAGGAGAAAAGAACCTGGAAATGGAAGCTTGGGGGGATTCTGGGAATAATGATGGGATACCCACCACAGGGTGGAAGATCTGCAGTGATAAATTTTGGATAAAAGGAGAGAAGAACCTGGAAATGGAAGTTTGGGGGGATTCTGGGAATAATGATGGGATACCCACCACAGGGTGGAAGATCTGCAGTGATAAATTTGGAAAAAAGAATAAAAAAACCTGGAAATTGAAGTTTTGGGGGATTCTGGAAGAGTTGGGCATTAATTACAGGATATCCACTGTGAGGGTTGAACTGTGGTGATAAATGTTGGATAAAAGGAGAAAAACACCTGGAAATGGAAGTTTTGGGGGATTCTGGGAATAACAATGGGATACCCACCATGGGGTGGAAGATCTGCAGTGATAAATTTGGAAAAAGGAGAAAAGAACCTGGAAATGGAAGCTTGGGGGGATTCTGGGAGAGCTGGGAATTAACCATGGGATATCCACCAGGAGGGCAGAACTGTGGTGATAAATGTTGGATAAAAGGGGAAAAGAGCCTGGAAATGGAAGTTTGGGGGGATTCTGGGAATAACAATGGGATACTCACCATGGGGTAGAAGATCTGTGGTGGTAAAATTTGGATAAAAGGAGAGAAGAGCCTGGAAATGGAAGTTTTGGGGGATTCTGGGAGAGTTGGGCATTAACTAGAGGATATCCACTGTGAGGATTGAACTGTGGTGATAAATATTGGATAAAGGGAGAAAAGAGCCTGGAAATGGAAGTTTGGGGAAATTCTGGGAATAACAATGGGATACCCACCTTGGGTGGAAGATCTGTGGTGACAAATGTTGGACAAAGGCAGAGAAGAGTGTGGAAATGGAAGTTTGGAGGATGCTGGGAGAGTTGGGAATTAACCATGGAATGTCTACCATGAGGTCAGAACTGTGGTGATAAATGTTGGATAAAAGGAGGAAAAAACCTGAAAATTGAAGTTTTGGGGGATTCTGGGCAAGTTGGGAATAACAATGGGATACCTACCATGGGGCAGAAGATCTGTGGTGGTAAATTTTGGATTAAAGGAGAGAAGACTGTGGAAATGAGAGTCTGGGGGGATTCTGGGAGAGTTGGGAATTAACCATGGAATATCCGCCATGAGGGCAGAACCGTGGTGATAAATGTTGGATAAAAGGAGAAAAACCCCTGGAAATGGAAGTTTTGGGGGATTCTGGGAATAACAATGGGATACCCACCATGGGGCAGAAGATCTGTGGTGGTAAATTTTGGATAAAAGGAGAGAAGAGTGTGGAAATGAGAGTCTGGGGGGATTCTGGGAATAATGATTGGATGCCCACCACAGGGTGGAAGATCTGCAGTGATAAATTTGGAAAAAAGGAGAAAAGAGCCTGGAAATGGAAGCTTGGGGGGATTCTGGGAGAGTTGGGAATTAACCATGGGATTTCCACTGTGAGGGCTGAACTGTGGTGATAAATGTTGGATAAAAGGAGAGAAGAATGTGGAAATGGAATGTTTGTTGGATTCTGGGAGAGTTGGGGGTTAATCATGGAATATCCACAGTGAGGGCTGAACTGTGGTGATAAATGTTGGATAAAAGGAGGAAAAAACCTGGAAGCGGAAGTTTTGGGGGATTCTGGGAATAACAATGGGATACCCACCATGGGGTAGAAGATCTGTGGTGGTAAATTTTGGATAAAAGGAGAGAAGAACCCGGAAATGAAAGTTTGGGGGGATTCTGGGAATAATGATGGGATACCCACCACAGGGTGGAAGATCTGCAGTGATAAATTTGGAAAAAAGGAGAAAAGAACCTGGAAATGGAAGCTTGGGGGGATTCTGGGAGAGTTGGGCATTAACTACAGGATATCCACTGTGAGGGCAGAACTGTGGGGATAAATGTTGGATAAANAGAAAAGAACCTGGAAATGGAAGCTTGGGGGGATTCTGGGAATAATGATGGGATACCCACCACAGGGTGGAAGATCTGCAGTGATAAATTTTGGAAAAAAGGAGAAAAAAACCTGGAAATGGAAGTTTTGGGGGATTCTGGGAATAAAGATGGGATACCCACCACAGGGTGGAAGATCTGCAGTGATAAATTTTGGAAAAAAGGAGAAAAGAACCTGGAAATGGAAGCTTGGGGGGATTCTGGGAATAAAGATGGGATACCCACCACAGGGTGGAAGATCTGCAGCGA